CTCGTTCCCAGATCGGAAAAATAGAAAGATTGCGCTAACTACTAACATAGAGCGTAACTTTCGCGCACCGTTCTCAAATGGAAGAATAAAAAAAAATCGTTCATTAGCGCTAATGAAAATCCCATTCCAGGTATATAAAAGGAGCGCATAATAGCAGTATTGACACTCGGTCGACTCAGCTGCAGCTGCGCGTTCGCCTTGTTTAGCAGTCATGTGGGTTCTTCCCTTGAAACTCTGATCATTTCCTCTTGTATTACTTTGTATTTGCAATTGCCCGGACGATCAATTCTTGGGGCTCAACTAGGGCATCCTACACAGAGATCTAAGATTGCCATCTCAGCAGATTGCGGGACTTCAGAGTAATTCGTGATAAGCTCTCGTAGTCCAGCTCGGGCATGTTGAATCTTTGTGTCTGTTACAAACGATCTGGTTCCCGTAGATCTACAAATCGCACAGCTCGGACATTTCTGGATATCACAGACACACGCGTATGTCATTACAACTTACACCTCTCCCGCACGAATCTCATGTTTTCCCAGTTATCACTCACCAATGTGTTTCATCGGTTACTGTCAACGTGATCGATTTCTTTCATACATATATCACATCCTGATCAATGAGTTCGCGATTTCAAGGCGAATTCACTGGCGACGCGCACGAGGCGGGCCCATGCGATCATGCGTTTTTGCATTATTTCGTACCGTAATAAGATAGCTTGGAGTCCGGAAAACTAGAATTTGTGGCACACTGGTCCTCAAAGTACAGAAAGTTTATTGAGCATCTATGTGTTACCTGGACAGAAAACATTCCCCTCAAAATTTCAGCTTCCCAACTTCCCTGGTCCTCGAGTTAGCGAATTTTCCTGCCAAAAATTTTTACGGAGCCGCACATGAGAACTACACCCTCCTGGGGCCTCAACTTGAAGCATTTAAGACGTAAGCGGACTGGAAACATCCCCTCAAAATTTTGCCCCCGTCCGACCCCCAGCCTTCCTTGTTTCCGAACTAGCGATTTCTCCGTCAAAACTCTTATAGGGACGAGAAGATATAAATTCTCTAGAAGTATGATTAGCATTTTTCAGATCAAATTC